CGCCAGCCGCGGGTCACTCCCGGGCAGAGCCAAGACAGCTGAGCTGTTCCAAGTACCAATCCATGGGAACTTGAATCCTCCCAAAAATTCGGTACACCTCCTACAGTTCTCCTCCATGCAGGGTGACCGTCTGAAAGGGGGAAGTCCCTCCACCCCCAAACCAATGGGATGAGGGGGGAAATGGTCGATCTGACAAACTGAAGACCATAACCTGGTGGCTTGAGACACCAGGCCCCGCTGAAGCAGGCCTTCCACGTGGGTCTTGAACTCGTAGTAGGCCGCCGCGTGAAGGATCTCAGCGTCGGTGTGGGCAGCCTCATTCCAACCCGGCCGAACGACAACTGCGGCCCTGGGCATCAGGGGGTATCTCCCACCTCCGTAACCTCTGTACCCTAGGATAACTCCCTAGTAGAGGAACGAATAACCACCTACTCTAGGGTGACTCCCTAGTAGTGGTGTGGGGACCCCAACAAAAGAAGAATGATGAAGCCAGTTTGGCTCAGACTTGAGCCAAAATGGATTCATCAACTTACACACTCACCCTAATGATAATGCACACCCAGTGCCTGCCAAACACGATGCATACATATGTATATATACATATACATAAATAACAGTACGCAACTGCTACGGTGATGCCTGCATGTAATTTGAATGATCTCTTCTGCATGTAATATTACATCATTATTTCTTTCCTTTCTTGTTTCCTTCCTTTCTCGTCTCCGTCCTTTCTTCCTTCTTTTCTTTCTTCCTTCCTTTCTTCTTTGGTTCCTTTTTCTTTCTTCCTTTCTTGTTTCCTTCCTTTCTTGTTTCCTTCCTTTCTTCCTTCCTTCCTTTCTTCCTTCCTTTCCGTCTTCCTTCCTGTCTTCTTTCCTTCCTGTCTTTCTTCTTTTCTTCCTTTCTTTCCTTTCTTTCCTTGCTTCCTTCCTTCCTTTCTTCCTTTCTTTCTTCCTTTCTTCCTTCCTTTCTTCCTTCCTTTCTTCCTTTCTTCCTTCCTTCCTTTCTGTCTTCCTTCCTTCCTTCTTTCCTTCCTGTCTTTCTTCTTTTCTTCCTTTCTTTCCTTGCTTCCTTCCTTCCTTCCTTCCTTTCTTCCTTTCTTCCTTTCTTCCTTTCTTCCTTCCTTTCGTCCTTTATTTTTTTTTTGATGCATTTTTATTTTTTGTTGATGCATTTTTATTTTTTTTTGATGCATTTTTATTTTTTTTTTGATGCCTACGCCAACTCCCATACCAGATCATGCGCGAAGCATCAATCAATTCATATCAATACAGCCATCAGTCCCGCAAAAGTTGCTAATGTATTTGCCAATGTATTGCCCATGCAACGCTGTAAAGTCACATGCACAATGGATGCATCCGAGGGACGCCCCGCAAGAATGCGAGACAAAGGAAGATGCAAAGTAGGCCGAATAGCCCAAAGGATCTTCTGAATGCTCAAAACCTCAAAAAATGAACCCCAGAAGAAGAAATAAGAAGAAATAAGAAGAAATAAGAAGAAATAAGAAGAATCTCTGCTAGATTGATGAAATGGCAGCACATCCAATAAATTCCAACAAACATTCAGTGCAGCCAAGGCCACAGTTCAGGATCCATGCCTGAATTGGGTTCCACGTTAAGCAGGGGAGTGGCAGAGTTACAAATGCGGCAGTCAAGTAAGCATGTGTGGTCTGACCACAAAAACCGGAGCTACGTGCAAGATACCAATCTGATCCAAATATTGATTCAAATCTATAATCTCCGCCGACCCAGCCGACGGCAAGGGGAGCGCGTGCCAGGAGCAGCAAGGTTTCTTTGCAGCCTTTTGGTGGGCAGATGTGAAAGTTGCAAAGGGCGCCGAGACTTAAAAGCCAAATTATGTAATATACTTCTAACTTATTTATATTTATTTATGGTATTCACTTATATAACAGCATTACCAATGCTAAACAAGCACCTTTAAAGGCAGGCTACTGCCTTTAAACGTGTCCCGGCGCCCTTTGCAACTTTTTCGTAGGCAGCATCCCGGTCCTCCGGCGCCTTTTGCAGCCTTCCGGTCACCCAGCGCCGTACTTTGGACAGTGTGGCCCAAAAGAAAGCTGGAGGAAGGAGAGCAGAAGATAGCACACAAGAAAATATGATGATGAATGCTGCTGGTGAGGAGCTTTTACACAGACGCGTTTACACACAGAAGCTTTTACGCACAGAAGCTTTTACACAGAGAAGTCTTTATACAGACTGGCTTTTACACGCACAAGCTTTTACGCAGAGAGAAATCTTTACACAGAGGAGCTTTTACGCACGGAAGATTTTACACAGAGAAGTCTTTACACTAAGGAGATTTTGCACACAAACGCGTTTACACGGAGGAGCTTTTACACACAGAAGCTTTTATATACACAAAGAAGTGATTACACAGAGAGCTTTTACACACAGACGCGTTTGCACACAGAAGCGTTTACAGAGAGAAGCCTTTGCACAGGAGCTTTTACACACAAGGGCGTTTACACACAGAAGCTGTTACACACAGCTGTTATACAAAGAAGTCTTTACACAGAGAGCTTTAACCCACAGGCGCGTTTACAGACAGAAACTTCTACGCAAAGAAGTCTTTACACAGAGAGCTTTTACACACAGAAGCTTTCACACACAGAAGTTTTTACACAGAGAAGTCTTTACACAGAGAAGCTTTTACACGCAGAAGCTTTTTCACACAGAAGTTTTTACACATCCATGAATATGTTCAAAAAAGCATAATTAAGGAATATATTTCTGAAGCAGCAGGTCCTCATTCAATAGCTTTCAAGCCCACCCTGCGATGACATCGAGGGTCAAGTAAATCCGGCGGAGCCGACGATGAGCGTCAGCTCCAAAAATATTTCAAAGGTCGGACAAGAGTGTCGGTCGCAGCATCTAGCGCTTTGTGCAGGTAATACGGAAGACGTTGCCAAGCCGCTTGCAGGAGCTCCTCCACTACAACGGGAGGCACCGAAAGGCCTAGCTGCTTCACCAATTTCTTCACAGCATCTGAAGCCTGTCACATGGCAGTAAGCTGACACTGGCTGCCAAGTGCAAAACCTATGCTCGAACCAAATGCAAAAGCAAATTGATCAAATTGTATTTGCCCCATCTTTGCCTCTTCCACTGGTTCATGAAACAAACACAGTAGGCGCTTCTGCCTGGACGACGTCTCTGTTTGTTTGCAAGCTTCAGGAAACAACTGTGCATAGTGCTGCCCAAATAAGACAAGGTGCTGCAGCGGGGTAACTGGCTTGAGCCACCCGACTCTGGGTTTTGGCTGAAGTTGCTCCTGCAAACTGTTACTGCATCTTCTCAGATGTTAAGCGATAAGTTATACGTTGTCAAGGTCTAGTCTAGGGAAGTTGGTGTTCCATCATGTCCATATACCACATTCAAGATTCAAGATGTGCTTGATTGAATGTCCCTTCCTCGGTCAAGGAGCATAACGCTGTCCAGTACCATAAAGGCTCATAGTCGAACACTGACGGTTCCTAGTCACAGCTCATCACAGCTCCATGCAGCTCCATGCACGGGCACGTCATGGTAATTTTGGGAGCCTTCCAATGCCTTCCTCTCATTTCTTCTCCATATTTTCTGCCAAGTTGCTGCCTTGCAAAGTCTTTGAACCAATTTGAAAGCCTGGCGCGGTCGTTGGCAATTGATGCAATTGGGTGATTTTCAGATTATTTCAGATTATATACAATCTGTGTAATTCTTACATTTCTTGCACGGGGTTCAACATGATCAACATGTCTCAATGCTCAAAATGTTTTTGAAAGTATTTGAAAGGCCATCTCGGTTTGCCTCGTTCGGGGTTTCTTCTGCCACAATGTGCAGGGGAGGCTCCTGCCAAGTCTCGAATGCACAAATTACCGCGGCACAATTTACGACCGCATGCAACGAGATATAACGAGATGATGATGTCAAGCAAGGACCATGCAATGACTCAACATGCAGAAGGTACGAGTAAGACTTGAGCCTAACGACTAGCAGCCACTGTAGCTCCATCCCTCCGTCCGTCTGTATAATTTTGTGTGTGTGTCATATTGTAGGTCATGCGCGCATCACCATGATATCGTGTTGATATCATGGTAGGCACCTCGCAACTCTGAAACATGCAGTCCTGGAAGAGCAGTTCACCTTGAGGTATTGCCTTTTTCGCGATCATGATCCTCGTGGCTGAAAGCAGCTGGAAGCTGATAGAAGCTGATAGAAGCCGATAGAAGCTGAAAGTCTCATGCTGAAAACCTCGAAAGTTGATGCTGTGCAGTGCATTGCAGCTGGAAAGGCCTGCCCTTGCCATCGGCAAGAGTACATTCGAACTCTCCGTGGAAGTGTTCATGGCAGTACTGGTTGATTGTGTCCTTGGATGGAGGAGTCTAAATCCCTGAGGTCTTACCTCCTGTGCCATGCCTTGGTAGATCCACTGGTTGCAGCAAAGTTGCAATATCCCAATCCTCCATGTCTCTGAAATTCTCCGAATTGTCGCTTTCAAACCTTTGCACGAGATGAGCACAGTTGAACTCTGAAGAGAATGGCTCCGTGCCGCGCTGGAAATAACGGGAAATCGGGTCTCTGATCACGGACCCGGAACAAAAAAAAATGCAAAAACATCACAAAACAAACGGGTCCAAAAAGATGTGAATCAATGTGAATGATTGATGTTGATTGTGAATGTGTGTGTGTGTGAATGTTTATGTAAATGTTTATGTGAATGTTTATGTGAATGTTTGCAGTGCAAAGACTTCATGCAACGAAGCTACCAGTTTGTGCCGGCCCCAGGCCCAAGCCACCGTTGGGTCAGGTTCAAGTGTCACTTGAGCCATCCAGGCTACGGCCACAATGGTAGACACCAATGGTAGACACTACATACCAACAGCCAAAATATATTCATTATCTCCCTGCGGGAATTTTACACATGTTTGCCACCTTAGAACACCCTAGACTCTAGTAGACCTGTCATTTCATGGTTTGGTACTGGACACCTGCAACTCAGGTCACGGCGCGCATAGGATTCCAATGACCCACGGCGTGTCACAGCAACTCCATGCAACTCCAACATGCTCAAAGTGTTCCAGGCGAAAACACCACGCAAAAGATTGGCAAAGAGCCTGTGGGAACTCCATCAAGCAAAGGCAGGGCATTTGTGACGGAGGCACGACGCTTTGAGAGGAAACCACAGGAAGACTTCTTTGAAGACGTGGAAATCTTAGAGCAAAAACAATCTCTTGCAGGTATTGCTTGCATTGCTGCGATCTGTTTGGTATACCCAGTGCTAGTACAAAGCTGCAGTGCTGCAAGATGCTGCCTCCAGCGGCACTGTCACTGCCCCGCATACCGCCCCAGAAGGAAACGGTCTGGAGAGCAGAGCCCAGAACGGCGCCCCTTGTCAGTTCGAAGATCAGCCGCTGCAAAGGTGGGAAAAAATGCTCTACCCGCAACATTTTCCCAGCTCTAAAAGTGCAGCCCAAGGCAATATGGTGTCAGCAGCTGAAGTTCATGTATCAGCAAATATCAGCAATATTCACCCGTGGCGTTATACTTATCCAATACAAGCATCATCGCCTGTCATCGTCCTAGCCTAAAAAGAGTCGCGTGAAAATGTCTGAAAGAGGTCTTTGGTGTAGACTAATGTTGACCTTTCATCAGCATGAAAAGGACTTCACATTCTGTGAGTGGTTATTGAACAAACTTGAACAAACGGTAGCATGGTACAGTAATTAAATATGCTCTGTAGGTACTGCACGGAACCAATGAGGCGTGCACACACTTGTGCACAAATAAGTGGTTTTCCAATGTTTGCCATGTTTTTTCCCATGTTTCCTTTCATTTTTCTTATGCGGCTATGCATTTGTTTAATCGTCTATTCAGGGTCATGGGGGTTGAGCCTCCGGCGCGAGCGAAATTCGAAGCAGAATCCCTTTCAGTCCAAGATTGAGAGTCCCGCTAATTGCAGAACACTTGGGAAATGAAAAGGCTCCGTCCAAAAAAGCGCCCGTTGTTAAGCAAGTCTCCCTTGGCCTCTCGAACCATTTGATTTTGAGAAGCATTCCACAAGTCCTTGAATAAAAGCGCAGCAGCTTTAGCGTTCTGGACATTTCTGGACCAGGTAAGTCAAGGGCTTCATCAGCATTTTTGGTGCCGAGACTGAACTCCTGCACTCTTGTTGCTTTCCAAGAATCATCGTGCGTCTTGCCATGCTCCAGTTCCTCCAGCTGTGGTGTTCACTAGTCAAAACGAGGGAACAAGAGCGACGTAATTTGATGTAATCTTAATATATCTGAATCACTCTGAATCTCCCATAATCTTCCATCCCCTTCAACCCAATGTGCCTGTTAATTGCTCAAAGGCAATCACAAATGAAAAGGTCACGAGTCAAAGTCATACTTTGGAACCCGTGCTGTGCCTCAAGCGAGTAAACGTACTCGCGCTTGTCCTTCGCATGGTCCTTTGTTTGCAGCAGTTCCAGCTTTCCAATAGCCCAGTCAGTCTGTGAGGATGAGAATATATGAAAATGATTGAAAATGTGGGTATCCTTCAAAGTCTGCTGAGCCCAACCAGCTGCTCCTTCTAATCTATCATAGTTTTCCTCGAGACTGGACAATGCAGGGAAATCAAGTAGCAGCCCACTGTCTGGCCAAGAAAGCAAAGGCAGTTTGCCTAATGGCAGACCATATTAGATCACAAGTGATGATATACCCCGTGTGCTGAGCCGAGAGCGTTGTAGAAGCAAAAATTGTCCGACCTTGAAGTGTCGCAAATGGTCAGCAAATGGTTACCTTTCCGGCCTAAATTTGGGGCACATGGCAAGACCTCTGCCTTAGATGGCCTCAGGCCTAAGTTCCAAACAACTCCCTCCTCACGACAGACTCCTCGATAAAGGCCTCACCTGAAGCCAGCCAAATCTCACGGCAGCTGCCATCTGTGACAAATCAAGATACCAAATGATACAATACCATTCAATACCATTCAAATCCATTCAATACCATCGTTTTCCTGCTCGGCTTTAGCTTCGCGGGTTCGGGGTCGCACATCCTTTCTGCACGTCGGACCCCTTGGATTCTCCAACCTCTCGCACCTTCAAGGCCTCAAACGAAATCGAACTAGTTTGACTATGAACTGTGCTGAACTGTGATGAAACTATGACGAATTAATATGAATTATAATTATATAATGTCGAGCATTCTGTTGACATGGGTGGGTCATGTTAGGTCATGGGTCATGGGCCACTCTGTTTCTTCTAGGTTGTTGATGGCTACTGGCCTTCTCCGTTCTCGGTGCGGCAAAAGAAAGAAGTCCAAGCGCCACACACATCTCTGAGCTGAGATTTGTCCTCGATCACGCCACACAAAGAGAGCGCAACAGCTTTAAACACTGCTTAGCATGCACGTAGCCGCCAACAGTACCCTATATATCGATCCCTGTGACTACACACCCAGTCTTGCACAGGGTGAGTACATTGATGCCTTTGCGCCTGCAGAAGCATAACGCGGCTATCTGATTACCTGCACAATTATATAGATACAGTTAGCATAATATCATGATGTATATAATAAGAAGCCAGAGGCACTGGCGAGGTGCGTCTGGCGTAGCAAAGGTTTCCATTCAGACAAGCGGCCAAAGTGCAACCATGGTGACAAACCAGACAATGCTTGCAACTTAGTAGCCATGAATCAAGCCGCAAGTCTCAGACCGCAAAGAGGCCGCATTCAACCACATCCGTTGCCAGCGTAACACAACGGTACAATGCGCGCGGTATCACATGTACTTGGCTTCCTGCGTTGGGATTGTTGCGGTCATTGGCGTACCTAGGACTAACACATACTCGACTCGACCGTCTGTTCTGTTGTGCACAACCTGCTCCAGCCGATCCGTTAATATCAATGTGCACAAGGCAAACTTGTGCCCGTCGGGCCCGTGGCCAACGGAAACATCTGTGCTTGGTCAGAACCTGGTATACCTAGGCCTGCTGGCTGGGTAAAATTTCTTCCACCAGCCCAGGCTAAAGAAATTATTGTCGCTTCAATAATTTCTGCCGTCTCAGCTAAAAACTTCCGTTTCAATTGTTTGGCGGTATTCTTGCCTGGTCAGCTGCCATTCTTGCATTTCGCACATTGTATTGATATTCATACACCCTGGAGAACATGGGCAGATATGTAGCATGTCAACGTCCAAATATGATAATATGCATTGAAAACCACCAAAATAATTTGCGCCGTTTGGTTCGGAATTTATGCCGTTTCAGTTTGTCACTTTTTTGGTAGAGGTTTTCAAGCTGGACAATGCGGCGAAAGTCTCCGCCACACCTGTGGAATGGAGAGAATCTCATTCCACTCAAAACATCACAATTTGCTGGAACCATCCAAAATCCAAAAACTTACCTCTCATCAAAACAGCTCGGGTTGAGCGTTAGCCCCTCCAAAAGCTAATTTTTCACCAAACATAATTATTTCTGCCTCGGTTGTTCTAGGCATGTATGGGGTATGGTCATTCATCCCACTCTGGGAATCCCACGGTCGGTATATAATTTCAAGTTTTGACGGGATTCAGCACACTTCTGGCACATCTAGTTGGCGAAGATTGTAGCACAAAACAGTCTCTCATGAGTTGTTGTGTTGTTTGCGGACGCTCCCCATTTGGTACTTTCTCTCTCTCTCTCTGTGTGTATCTTTCTACAGATGGTTGTTTGCTTATGTTTGCTTTGAGAACGAGGGGACACAAAACATCCCAGCATCGACAATGCAACAGGTACCACTCCTTCTTGGCCGCGGCGAGTGGGGCCACTTGTTGCTGTGGTGGCGTATGAAGCTGGCGCGGTGTTTCAGATATACGGTATACGTGTGTAAAGCGCATGCTAATACGTAAGGTAAGTTGCCCTTCCGTTGTCCAAATGACTTGATTTGTTTCGCCCATGTCACGAACTTATTTTCATCGCTTTATTGTTTATCTTTACTGTTCCCGGTACGTGTATGCGCCACTGGACATCCAATTTCGAAAGCGACTCGCGCATTCGAAAACGTAGGCCCCAGCACTAAAAAAGCCCAAGGGTCGAAAGTAAAAAAATGATAAACATGATGAAAAATGTAGGTATGTCATGGATTGCCATGGTATGAGACCGATGATACTTAAGGACACAAAATTTCTAGGGAAACAAGCCAAAGCCCTTAGTTATCCTTAGTTCAATTTAGTTCCTCCGTTTTTCTGTTGTGTTTCTGAGTATGTAGTCACTCTCTCTCTCTCTCTTTCTTTCAGCCCCTGGCTTCCCCAATCGGGTTGTGAAATCCAGGAGCGCCGCATGTGCAGCTGCTGCACCTGGCCTTTCATGCCGACACTCTCAGCCGCAGCGCTTTTACTGCGCTTCTTGCATGCCATCCAAAGCGAAATATTGCAAAACTATGCAACACATGCAAAGTTCGGTACAACTAGCGGATTGATGTCTCAGGTTCGCGCACAATGCCATTCACTGGCTTCACACTTCTGTCGACCTGATGGATACAGCCAGAAGGGAGAGAAAAACATGCGAACGGAACAGAACAAGCAAGTGAGATGTGCCTCCAAAGACTTCTCTGCAACCTCCCAATCCGGCCGCGCGGTGTCCTGGAATGAATCGTGAAAGCCAGGACAATACTGCTTCTAGTATTGTAGCAGCTCTACCATGCATTTTTCAATCACACACTTGCTCAGATACAATATGGAATATTAGATATTAGATGATAATGATATTAGATAATGTATATCCAAATCACATAATATACATATATATATTATATATATATGCAAATCATAGACCCATTTGCATTTGCACCAAAACTGTCAAAACTCAAACAAATCAGTCACAAGTCTAGATAAATTGTGATAAATTTACACTGATGCATCAGGAGCCTTTGATGCGTGAGGGTGGTCAACAACTTTGGGAAAGTCGGTCAAGTAGGTCGCCAACCTCAGGCTGATTTCAACTCTTTGGAGTTTAGACTTTTATCTCTGGACCCCATAACACTTAAAACATAAAGTTTAGAACATCAACATCTATGTGTTGATTTTAAGCCGCAATGTTCTAAGTGTGGGAGGGGCTCTGTGTGCTCACTACTCACTAGCACTCTCGGACATTCGTCTCAAAGTCACGCGAACGTGTGAGACCGGTGCTAACGCCGACGAGTATTTCGTGAGCGCAAGGACCGTTAGAGGAACTAATTAAATGCAGGCACCCGCAGTGAAGACAGACGCGGGGCATAAGCAAATTGGGCAGACAGATTCTGTAGGACCTGACTCTCAAACAGAACTCGCCCGTTGAAACCTGGACAGTCGAAACGCGAGCCTAGAGCACGCACCGAACTAACCCTGGCCATGCGCAGTGTCCACGGGACCGCAACACCTGACCTCAGGATGGAGTCAAAAGTTCGCTTCCATGTGCGGAACAGAGTCGCGAAGGATGGAATTGCGAACTCCAAAGTAGGGTCATCCTGAACCCAAACCCACTCATGATAGTACCAAAAGGCCGGGAGCGCCGACGTATCATGAATATATCCCCAAAAAAGTTCAAGCCAAGAAGTGTCTTGAAGAGAACCTAAACCGTCGACTGACACGGTTGAAGTCCAACGGATCTCCCTCATCCAATTAATAAGAGAACGTGCAAAGCCTTGGTGACAGACGACAGGATGAATGTCGTGCTCGAACCACAATGAGGAAGGCAAACCAACAGGGTGAACCCTTCCGATTTGAACCTGCTGGTTGACTTCCGGGGCATCTCCGTCATTGGCGAAAATCAAAGCAACTCCAGCCTGGAAAGAATAGAGGTCTTGAGCCAGTGACAACATACGTTTGTAATCTTCAACCATGTGCCTGAACAGCGGAGTGTCGTGTCCCGCAAGGGCCTGCTTGGCCGCCTGGTCAGCCCAATGGTTGAACCAGGCATGAACTTTGTCCAAACCAACCGCAGTACGGTAGTTGACGTGACCTTTAATCCAGGAGATACGGACAGAGTCCAGGTCACAACCACGGAGATTTGACAAGAAGAAGGCCCAAAGGTCCTTATTGTCCTGAGGCAAACCAGGAGGATTTCCGGCCTGAAGCTGTCGCAGTATGCGGTTTGCCGTACGGCAGACCGACTGGGAGTCCGTAAAGACAACCGGCTTGTTTGCCATACCAACGGCACATGCAACAGCCAAAAGTTCGGCACGGAAAATAGTTTGACACGAGCCCGGGAGGGCACCGTGCCAGCACACCTGGAACGTGCCATCGACTTTTGCACGCAGGACAGCACCTGAAGCAACGCGGATCACCGGGTGCCTCGGAAAGAGGCAAGCCCCATCAGTGTAAAAAACCGCCAAGTCACAGGAAAAAGAACGAGTAATGCCTGGCAGGGAGCGAGAATCAAGAACAGACTGCCATTCACGCCATCCTTCCGGCTCAGGCAAGAGCCCAAAAGCGGTAATGAACTCGGGGAGGCTGTCCCACTGCCTGAACAGTGAGGGGAAGACCGAGCGCCAAGCATCTGTGCGTTGGCACCACCTCAATCTGTGCAGCCTTGAATCAAATTGACCGCAAAAACGGCAAACAGCCGCCTTTTGATCAATGTGCTTGGTAAATTCGCCTGAGAAGAAAGCACCAATCTGTTGTTGACGCACGAGGGCCTTCTCAAAAGAAAGGAGATGTCTGGTCATTTGCGTAAGCGGGACACAAATATTCTCAAGCTCAGAGAGGTATTTGCGATGGCGCACCTGGGAGGCCACCTTTCCGGTCCATGATGACAAAAGCAAAGTCTGAACATGTCTGAGCGGAGTCAGACAAACATGAAAGACACGACCGGCATCGTCCATAAAAGCACCGTCACCAACGTGGGACCAACCGAGCGACGACAAAACAGTGACCAACAACCGAGTCGGACCAGGCCTCAGAGAAGAAGCGACGAGGCCATCAAAAAAGAACTGCGACAGAGCCGGAAGTTCCTTTACTACCTGCCGAAACAGTTGAATCCTGTTGATGATCAAGACAAATTCGGGGTCAATGCAACGGTAGGTGGCCAAAAGACATGCAAGCCGCGGCGATGAACCTTTAGGTCTACACTCAACTGCGTTGGCCGCACCTGAACGTAACCGCTGAAAAACAGATTTTGGAGCGGAAGATGTTTCTGCAGCATGAAGGGCGTGGGGGAAAATACCTGACAGAAGCAGCCGGGTTTTTCGAAACACCGACCCTGGCAAGCCATGCAGTTTGGACATACGACTCAGCCCGGAGGTGACGCGACCGTTGCGTTCACGAGCAGCCTTTTTATTACAGTAGGAAATGTCTGCACCTAACTCGCGAGCCTGAAGCTTGACAGGGACTCTTTGCTGGAGCAAAGAACTGGATCGGAGTTTGCGTCTGCCTGCCGGGCAAATGGCCCAAAACCAGCACTTCGCAGGTGACACTAGAAGATGGCACAGGTCCAGGAAACGCTCGACCACAGGAATGGCCTGTATCAATTCCAAAGCGGACCTGGCGACGAGCTCCCAATTATCGGCGTAAGTGAGGCAAAGGACATGAGCCGCTCTGTGTTGCACAAAATGATCAAAGGCCTTAGCAAAAACAAACATGCCAACAACACTAAGCGGGTCTCCCTCCGGGATACCTGTGACCGCACCAGAGCAACCATACACAGCCCCTTCCACTAGGACGGTCCTGGACAGTTGCGACAGCATGGCCAACCACGCATCGACAATGGTCTCAGGGAAACCAAAACGCAACATCAATGCTCTAAGCAGACCTCGGTCGAGGATGTTGAAGCATTTGGTAATGTCCAGGACAAGCCCTGCAAGCGGTTGTTTCGCCGAAACCTTCTGTGAGATGAGATCGCCCAGGAACGTCCAAATAGCCCTGGTACTGAGACATGGGGAAACAAGGGGTTTTGAGATTGACCTGGCATGCTGCATCAGTTGCGCCGTGCGAACTCTACTCCAGATACGATAACAAACACCTGCGATGGTAATCGGCCGGATGAGGGACCAACCAGGGCAAGCATCATTGGTCTTACGAAGGAGAACCAAAACCCAAGTGGAAAGCTGCTCCGGCCACTTCCGAAGCACCTCCGCAGCACGGAAGATACACAAGAGCAGGAGCAGCAGGGTAAAAGGGTCAGACAACCAAGCAAGCTCCTGAACAGACCAACCATCAGCTCCTCGCATGGTACGTTTCTTGGCCGATTTCAAGGCACTTCTCCAATCCTCCAGCGACAAAGGCTTGGTTTGGACCGGGGGGAACGACGGCATTGCTTGGATGACTTCATGGATGGAGTCCTCTTCAACTTGAGGTCGATTCCAAAAGGAGTTCCATTGATCAAGGAAATGACCACACCAGATCTCCGGTTCCGCTGAAACGAAAGTGCGAAACAGGGAAGCAGCCTCTTTACGTGTGAGGAGGCGATCCACCTGCAGATGGTGAGCCTGCTTAGAGATAACGGTGACACTGACGTCATTTCCACAAAGGGTGCATCCAACCGGGTAATCGTCAGGGTTACGGACCTGAATCCATGCCTTCCCTGCGGAGCTCCATCGTTGGGGCAAAAGTCTGACGGGCAGTTGGATCGTCATGTCAGTCACTGGTGGTTTTTGCGGATCCTTGACTAAACGGAATGGCATCGAGCCTCCTTCAACAGACCAAGATTTCTCAACCTGTTCATTGAAGAGGAGTCTCTTCCGATTCCAGGCTTCAGCAGAACATTTGTGAGCGAAGTCCATTACCGCAGTTTTGATACGTCCCACCTGCTCTATAGAAGGACAGGCCTGCCAGGGGATATGAGCCTGCGTAACCACCCAGTGAGGGAACGAGTGACCAAAACCCGGCGAGGCCACAATCGTGCTCCAAACACTGTGAGCTTCAGAAACAATACGCGGGTTGCATGGCTGAACGGCTTTACGCATGAGTCTTTCAAGTGTCTGCAGACGGCGACTCTGTCTTTGCACCTGCCGGACTCTGAGTGCAACCGCCGGAAACTGAACTCTAAAGTCAGTGGCGCGACCTTGCTTGAAGCGGGGAGCCGCCAAAACACGTTTGACCGGCACAGGCCGGCTCGCCCTTCCCAAGAACTTGCGCCCTGGCAATGATCCGTCTATAGATGTGGCCTGTCTAAGAGACTCTTCAGCGCCTTGTGACCAAAGTTTAAAAGCAAGGGAGATGTCATGTCTCGCAATTGCATTCTGTACCGCTTCAAGTACGCCCGAAGGCACAGCTGTTGATTGGGCCTGATGCAGATCAATCTCAAGGTCATCAAAGGCACGCGGCAACATCCATTTCCAGACCTGAGGATTGACGCAGGGGAAGTCGTATTTGCCAACAAGAACCGCATGACTGTCGAGGTCAGCGGAGTGCGCAACAGACATGCCAGTCAAGAACCTGGAAAAGTCTTGATTACCGAACTGAAACGTGTGTCGAGTGGCACTTTTGCAGGTGGGGTCCAAACTAGCGCCAAACCTATGATGTGCCAACTCATGTAAATCCGCCCATCCCCTAGCAGTCAGGTCGCGCAACGCGTCAAAAGCACGCCAACCAATATTCATATCCCCTGTGACAAGGACAGGACCTTGAAGTGTATCAGCAATCTTCAACACCCATGCCAAAATCTCACAATTGAGAAGGTACTTGTGACTACCAACCACCGCATTGGGGAAAAGGTACACCGTGAAAATGTGAAGAGGCAGCTGCGAAACCTGAACAACAGTGTACAACAGTCTTTGGGAACTCCAGGCCTGCTGAGGAATGAACCTGGGACGTGGGGTAAAGACAGGGAAGGTACTTGCAAGGCAAACACCTCTACTCAAGCCGCGAAAGGAACCAAGAGAATTGGAAACAGCAAATTTGTCTGGGACAGGGTCCGAACAAGACAAGTGAAAGCCAAAACCTCTGAATTCAGAGTGAAGGGCGGGGAGCGCCCTCCGAGTGTGGGAAGTCTCGCTAAATGTGACAACC